AACGCGCCAAAAGTTTGGAGTCAGTTTATTGGTGTTTTGAAGGTGTTCAAGTGCAAGGAGACATTTACAGTGTTGTGCTATCGGTGCGGCTGTGGCTAAACTCAACGTGTCATTGGTAGGAGAGTGCGTCTTTAACTCCTGCCATTAAAATCAGTGATAAACTTTTGTGCCGGTCCGCTGAGAGGTTATGCTGGACTCAGTGGTAACTTTGGCGCTGCCAACCTCACCATAGTGACACTCCGACCCAACCGCAGTGACATCTAGTGATTTCGCGGTTCCGAAGTTGGACAACCTGGAGCAGTGACTCTCCGGTACTGCCAACCCCGCAACAGTGACACTGAGTGCATCGCTAGTGATTTCAGTGTTCCGAAGTTGACCGTCATGACGACGAGAACAGGAAAGAGCGCCAAGGTGGGAGATATGAACCGTGGAGAGCTGGAAACCCTGATTGCGGAGGCAGTAGCGGCGGCAATACTCCCGCTGTCTTCCCGAATAGACAAACTGTGTAGTGAGGTGGAAAAATTAAAAGAGGAACTAACTGAAAAGGATACCAAAATAAAATTATTGGAATCTAGTGTACATAATAAGTGTGATGAACTAGAACAGTATGGAAGGAGAAACAACATAAGAATCTTCGGAGTTCCTGAGGCAAACAGTGAAAATACGGATGATTTGGTAATTGATGTGGCTCGCAAAATAAATGTGACCCTAGAAAAGTGGAATATAGACCGATCGCACCGAGTTGGTAAAGCGGGCGGAGACAGGCCGCGCCCGATTCTGGTGAAGTTCACGAGCTATGGTGCTCGCAGAGCGGTCTTCCAGGCCAAAAAGCAACTGAAATCGACAAGAATCACAATCCGGGAGGACCTCACGCAAGCGAGGCTCTCACTTATGAGGAAGACTATGGATAGCTACTCCGAGAAAAATGTGTGGTCAAGTGACGGTGCCATCATGGTGAAGGTCGGGGCAGTAGTGCGGCCCCTTCGTGTGAGGACTGAAGAAGACCTTGCAAGTCTACTGGTGAGACACCCTCCCGTTGGGGTATAAGCCGTTACTCGAACATACTGTAACCGAGGGGGCGCCAACTCCGAAATTTCGTGCACTGTGAATACACTCTAATAGTGAATATCACTGAATAATCACTTAATATTGCCTGAATACTGTAGGTATTAATTCCCTCGTGAACCGTGAATACTAGAAGTCACTGCCCCCTCGACTGTAACGTAACACATTTGCCTTTCACTTTATGTCATATACCATTTAAGCACAGTGTTATGTAAGCATTATTCGTCTGATGACCGATGTCACATGTGAATGACTTTACATAGTACAAACTGTTAATTTTATTAGTCTATAATGTTATACTTGTACCTTAATTTTATATTTTCTTCCATTTTATTTTAGTTGTTTTGTTTTATACCTAGGCTGTCTTGTCCTTTTGTTTCTTAACCACTATTTGTCTAACACTCCGGCAGAAGTGGGGCTAATAATTTAGACACAATATGTTAGCTCAACCATTGGTATTACGAAACATTATTTACGGGTCCTAATTTTTATATGGTTATGTTTCCTATAGACGGTAATCGACCCGTCGAAATGTTGTTCCTTTACTCTCGACTTAGATAGCTATATTACAAATGTATACTTTGTGCCATGCATTTGCCCTAGTTGTAAACACCAAAGCGAATGAGTGCTCAATCGACACTTATTCTTTAATTCTTTAAGTATTATTCTTTGCCTGAAATTTCTAGCCTGTTTGTTTTTATTGTTCCTGTTAATCGCATAGTTCATGTTAGTTGTATGTTATCTTTTACTCATTTACTTAAATTTACTTATCTTTTTGCATTGTTTATCGTTATTTTATATTTTGTTTCACCCATGTACTGATAGTTTCTTTAGAATGTCTTGCTCGTTTTGTTAACTCCTTAAATACTCATAACTTACGTCTGACTGACTTCAAGTTTTGCTCTTGCTTTACGCCATATGAGAGAACGAGACCTATCTCTTCTTAAAGATTACGTACAGAATATTGCGAATGAGAATGGAACTAACCTAAAAATAGTGCATATTAATGCTCAATCCTTAAATGACACAGCTCACAACTCAGAATTTTTACTGACTTTTGCAAATTGCGGTATTGATGTAATATGTGTCTCTGAAACCTGGCTAAAGAAAGGCGACCAAGTGCATCTTCCTGGTTATAATTTATTTAATGTGATAAGAAATAGAAAGAGAGGAGGAGGTGTCTATTTTTGTAAGGGAAACATATCCTACCAAAGTTCTTGACTGTTCATGTGGAGAGAGGGACATGCCTGAATATCTTATCGTTGACATTACTGTTGGAAGTGAGAGGCTTATGTTTGCAGGAATCTACAGGCCACCAAAGGTAGGACACCTTGATTTGTTTCAGGAGCATATGTATAAGAATATGGTTAATTATAAATATGTATTTGTGGCGGGAGATTTAAATGCTAGATTTGGCAGTGGTACCGACGATACAGCAGTGATCACTGACATGCTCAACCTTTGTAACTTAACTTGTGTACCGTTTCAATCTACGTTTCACACCGAAACCTGTGACTCTAACCTTGATATTATTGCCAGTAACTGCCATGAAAGGCTTATGTCGTTTGGGCAGGGGACAGCCGCTGGGTTTTCGGCACATGACCTGATTTATTCTGTATTCGACTTGAGCGTATCCGCATTTAAAAAACATACTATATCCTACAGAGATTTCAACAGGGTCGACCAGGAGAAACTGCTCATTGATGTTGAAAACGTTCATTGGCTTGACTTTTTTAATGAAAACGATGTTGATCGGAAACTGCATATTTTAAACTCAATAATCGTTGAACTAATGGATAAACATGCGCCCCTCACCACTAAAACTGTAAAACAATTTAATGCCCCATGGATGACACGCGAAATTAAAATCCTTCTCTCTGAAAGGGACAAGCTGCGGGACAAGTTCCTGCGTACGAAGTCAACCATAGATCTCAGTAATTTTCGCACGGCCAGAAATAGAGTAAAGCAAGTCATCCGTAACTCAAAGATAAAATACTATCATGCAACCTTCGCGAAGTGCAGTGATTCCAAATCCATGTGGTCAGCTGTTAAGTCACTCCGCATTGGAAAAACATCCTCTCAGAAAAGTGAACCTATAATTCCAGTCAATGACTTGAACTCCCACTACGCATCAGTGTCAAGTGTTAAAAATCCAGACCTTATTGATACTGTCATAAGCCACTATTCTAGTCTACCCCCGAAGTTTTCCGACAAAAATGAGCAGTTCTTCTTTCGGTACGCTATGCCTAATGATATTTTTAAGGCCGTCCACAGTATAAAATCAAAGGCCACAGGTGTTGACAACCTGTCCATATCTTTCTTAAAACTGTGCCTTCCTGCTTTAATGCCTGTGATTGAACATTTATTTAACTTTTGCCTCCAAAATAGCGTTTTCCCCTCAGCATGGAAGATGGCAAACATCATTCCTATCCCAAAGACAAAGAGCCCTAAAGAATGTAAAGACTATAGACCCGTCAGCTTGCTTTGCGTCCTTGGCAAGGCCCTAGAGAAAATAGTCCACGCCCAAGTAAGCGAGTTTTTGCAAGAAAATAATATGTTTTCTCAGTATCAATCTGGCTTCAGAAAAGGGCACAGCACAGTTACTGCCCTAGTTAAAGTAGCTGATGATATACGGAGATCTATTGACAAACGCTTTATGTCGTTACTCGTCCTACTCGACCTCAGCAAAGCCTTCGATTGTGTCCATCACGAGTTACTTCTCGTTAAACTAAAATACTTAGGTTTCTCTAATTCTACGGCGGCTTGGTTTGGTTCCTACCTCACAAATCGCTACCAAAGAGTCTTTGTATCGGAGGTACTGTTCTCCGACTGGATTGCAGTCACTACAGGGGTTCCCCAGGGCAGTGTACTAGGGCCGCTACTGTTCTTAATCTACCTATTTGACCTTCCCTCGGTACTACGCTCTTGCACATATCATATGTATGCTGACGACAATCAACGTTGCACATATCATATGTACGCTGATGACATTCAACTATATACCCCCTTTGCCCTGTCTAATTACGAGGCTGCTCTTGGGTGCATTACTAATAATATATTACGAGTCATTCAGTTTTGTGCGAATCATAACTTAATTCTAAATGTTGGCAAAACTCAGGCAATAGTGCTAGGAACGCAGAGATATCTAACCCTATTAAATGCAAACCCAGTGGCTCCTTTGGTAATAAACGACTGTATCATCCCGTATTGTCAATCTGTTAACAACTTGGGCGTACTGTTCGACCCTGCAATGAACTGGACAGAACACTGCATGTCCGTAGTCAAAAAAGTGTTTTGTACTCTAGCACAGCTCCGGCGCAATTTCTCGTTTATACCACAAAATATACGGAAAACACTTATCACATCACTTGTTATGCCTCACTTTGACTATGCATCTGTCCTGTTCACAGACATGCCACAGTACAATAACCTAAGACTGCAGAGAGCACAAAATGCTTGTATTCGTTTTATAACGGGAGCTTCCAGATATGAGCACATAACGCCACATTACGAAGAACTTGGTATTAAGAAAATTGATGAAAGGAGAAGGATTGACGTAGCGGTGTTAATGCTTAAAATCATGAAGTACCAATCTCCTGCCTATCTGTTTGAACCATATAAATTTGTCAGTGCTGTCAGACCAAACACAAGGTCCAGTAGGTCACGCCTCCAAATAAAAACGCCTAGAACAGAAGCATTTGAACAGTCTTTCTTTATCTGTTCTTCAAAGTTATGGAACGAACTTGAGTTGTACAATAAAATAAAATTCTCACCGCACACCATCCGTAGACTATTGAACGTATGAACTATTTTGGTTGCATTGTCGTGTTTTTTTTTGTTTTGTATTGTATTCTGTACGCAATCTGTAGTTGTTAATTTAGTATTAAGCGTTAATTGTATGTAATTATAACTGTACAGCCTGCTAGAGAGCGGGTTCTCATGTAGTGGGGCTCCATAGCCCTTTTTGAGGATCCTCAATAAACTCTAAACTCTAAACTCTAAACTCTCTCTCTCTCTCTCTCCCTCTTCCCATACCACCACCATATGGAACAGCTAGGTAGGTGCTGTAGGGGCCCGATCCGGTCCTGATCACAGCAGAGGCACCAATAAAACACGCCTTCTCTTTACAGGCCGAAAAGGGCGGGTAAGAGAGAAATGTTTTTAAACTTCCATCAACACCCTTTGCATGGCGAGCGGGCCACACATGGCTCACGACTGCTGCTGTGTCGAGCGCGCTGTCGTAGCGGGGGCGGAGCGGGGCGGAGCGGGGCGGGGCGGGCGCACGGCTCGCAGAATTAAACATGGCACATCACCCGGCCGCGGCTGACTGCTGGGGCGACCCGAGGGGACCGCTGCTGCAGCGCGTGTGTTTGGAATGGAACACGAGGACATGATACTCGCTGCATGCAAGTTCAGCTGCCAGGCGCCGGGCCCCGGGTCCCCTGTCACACACGCTGTGAACCATCCCGCGCGCCCGCCGTGCTCTGCCACGCCCCGCCTCACGTACAAACTCGCGCGACCAGGCCAGCCGCCCCCGCTGCAACGACGTCCACACAGCTGGTGAGACGGAACCCAGTCACACCCCAGGCAAGCCCCGGCAAGTAAGCAAGAGTGGACAGAGCGAACCATTCCTCGAACACGCGACAAGACTTTTTACTGTAGGAGTAATTCGACTTTCATGAGATCCATTACTATTAAAACAGCAACACGCGTCCTTATTGTGGGTTATATCTGAATGTAAAGCTCGATTCTTTGACCACGGCCCCCCATCTCCAGAGCCTCCGCAGCGGCCCCATCCGCCGGCTCCTCCTAATTGCCACTACCGGTAGTGGAAGTGGGTTCGAGGGGAGCAGCCCGCAGCAGCAGCAGCAGCTCCTGCTCTGCTTCGGGGAGAGAAGGGCGGAGGGAGGAGAAGACGGTTGAGCCGTTGGAATGGAGTGTGCGAGGCGAAGGCCGACTTTCCCAAACTGCGTTACACCCACTCCCTCCTCCTCCTCCTCCGGTACCGGTAGCGGACCATCTCCCCCCACCATACACACCGCGTCGCCTTCACCCACCCCTGCGCACAGACACAAAGAAGCAGGACACCCCCTTCCCTTTCCCCCCCCCTCTCTCTCTCTCTCTCCATGCGTTTTATCACGTAGGGCATGACATTGTAATTATTGTTATCAAAAAGGGGGGTCGCTTTGCCGGGTCCGCCCCTATTGTCGTCCCGCGCGCCTGGCGGCGTGCCCCACTTGCAGTGCTACGCCGCCGCGTGCGACTTGCGACGACTGACATCAGCAGCAGGACCCGGCCGAGTGCTCATTGGGTCGCGCACGCCACGTCAGTTGTACACGACATCTCTCATCGCTAACATGCCGCTCCCTGCCTTCCCTTTCCCTTCCCTTGGCTGAGCGCCGCACACCTCCTTCCCTTTCCTTTACCCTTTTTGCTGAAATTCTTTTTCTTTTTTCCCTTTTTTTCCCAACGGAATTTATTTTACCGCTGCACCATTTGCTGCTACTGCCATACACGGCGGCGGCCTGCAATAAAATAATCCCCTGGCGATATCGCCGGTGCTGTTTATCCATCCGAAGCTCTTTTAAGAGCACAAACTGCCACTAACAAGGGCCCCCCCGCCCCCCGTCCCTCTGCCGCGCCGGTGGCGCGCTCGGCGGCGCTCTCTGTGCCCGCAATGAGCGCCAATCGCTCGTTACTGCCATTGTTATGGCGGGCCGAGCCAGGCCGTGCCGTGCCGAGGCCGTGCCGTGGCCGTGCCGTGGCCGTGCCGGGGCAGTGCCGGGGGCCGAGGCCCGCTGGGATGGAGGCGAGGGGGCGCAGGGCCCCCCTCCTCCTACACAACCGCGCGCCGGCAGACATTACGACCCTATTCAGTTACCATCGGCGGCCGCGGGGCAGCATGTGTGCGTGTGCGCGATTGAGAGAGTGTGAGAGAGAGAGAGAGAGAGAGA